GCCTTCGGCTTCCCAGAATTCTCCTCTCTCCTTGTCCCACCTACTTCCTGCCTGGCAACCTACTTCCTGCCTGGTCACTGGCCATCAGTGTTTTATTTATATAGAATAATATCCACAGCAGTGAACAGGGAATCATTACAACAGACACCAAGAAATTCAGAACATAATAAAGGGGTGCTTTTAAAACCTTTTTTCCTGGGGATGGAGAGGTGGCTCAGAAGTTAAGAGCACTGGATGTTCTTCCAGAAGATCTGGGGTTCAATTCCCAGCACCTCCGTGGTGGCTCACACCAGTCTGTGACTTCAGTCCCGGGGGATTCAGAGCCCTTTTCTGGCCTTCTTGAGCACTGTATGGACATGGTGCAGACACACATACAGGCAAAAGACCTACACATAAAGAGAACTAAGAATAACTATATTAAAAGAATGCACTATTATACACAGTTTGAAAAATAACTTTTATGGTGCAACTCATTTTTTCTTACGTTTTTTTCTTATTGATTTTCTTTTTTTTTTACAAATCTAATTTCAGTCATAATTTTATGCATATGTTTTTTTCCTCTATGCATGTCTTTTTACCCAATCCATGCCTGGTGATCATGGAAGACAGGAGATGGTGTCAGAACCCCTGGAACTGTAGTTACAGATAGTAGTGAGCTTCTATATGTACTGGAAATGGAAGGTGGGTGCTTTGAAAGATTCTTCAGTACTCTTAATTGGTAAAGTTTTTTCCAATCCAAATCTTGACTATTTTCCAATCTCTTTTTGATTGTTTCCTAAACAAGGCAGCCTAGTCAGGGTCAGACACCTGATGATGATTAAAAAAGTAGAAATCTTCTACAGGGGAGAGATTATTATCAGGCAGGGATGAGTTCCCTAATTACAACATGGTCAGCCCTTAAATCATAAATATACAAATAATAAATATGGACTCAGCAGGGTTTATTCATATATTTCAGTGTACTTATTCAAACATACTTAACAAAGAAGAAAGTTGGAAGGAAAGTATGTGGACAGAAATAGAGGTAGGACAAGAATGGGGAAATCTATGTAATATGTTTTAATTAAAAATGTATAGAAGAAATTTTAAATTAAAAAGAGGGTCTAGAGAGATGGCTCAGTGGTGAAGAGCACTGGGTTTTGTTACAAGAGACACAGGTTCCATTTTCAGAACCTATATGGTAGCTAACCATTTGCTGTAAAATCAGTCCTAGGCATCTCCTGCCTTCTTCTGATGTCTGTAGTTACTGTGCACAGACACATTTAGAAAAAAGCACCATATAACTAAAATTTTTAAAAAGGTAGAAAAGGGAATGAATGGAATTGTCTACAGTAATGTCACAGCCCTGAGACAGGTAGCAGCCAGAGCTGGTTAAAATGAGTTCCTTCTGGTCTTGCCTGGAAGCAGCTGTGGCCTTCCTCCTAGTCAGCCTGCTCAGAGACAAACTCAGCTTTGTTCTGAGGGTAAGACAGCTCTTCATAAACATTCATCTAAGAGCAGAATATACAGTGCTGTTCTTGATGTTTTCTGTATTTGTGTTCTCTATCTTTTCTGTGAGAATTGTGGCATTGGTACAGCTATCTTTTAGATCAAATATCAAAGCTGATATGTAGCATAGGCTCCAAAACAATCTGCTTTCACAGTGTCATTTACTTGATTTTCAGCTAAGACCTTATGGTACAAAATGAACATGCCAGAGATATTTCTTTCCATTATTTTTGTAATTTATATATGTTCCTGTATGACTTTCAGGTAAGAATGTCCCTAAATGTCCCTGCTTTTATACTTTGATCATGTTTAGAAGTGAATTTGCTAACTGAGCATGATTAGATATAAGCAGAACTCTACATGAATGTGTCCAGACTCCCTAAGTAAAGTCCCCATGCTTCCCTTGTTTAGGAAAAGCATTGCTTTGGAAATGACTCCCATACTCTCCTTGCCTCCTGCAGGCAAGAAATCTTTCTCAGTTCTCTTCTTGGCTGTTGTGATGGTTATTCTTGGTAATTAAACTGACTAACTCTGGAAATAACTAAAGCCCAAGGAGCTGGGTACAGCTGTGAGGGATTTTTTTTTAAGGTTTTGAAATTAAAGACCCATCTTTAAACTGGATCATTTGAAGTGATGAGATCTACCTGTAGCATCTTGGTGGCAGTGCACATCTTTAACCTCAGCATGCAAGAGGCAGAGGCAGTCCATTATTCTGAGTTTGAGGCTATCCTGGTCTACAATATGAGTTTTGGGCTACATAGATAAACCCTGTCTCAAAAACACCAAAAAGTAATCAAACCAAGAATAAAACCCACCTTTAATATGGATCACACCTTCTTGTAGCAGGCTACATATATAGATATTGAAGAAGGAATCTATCTTTCTTTGCCCACTTGCCCTAGCTCTGGCTACCAAATTCATTCCTTTACAAGGGTTAGAGCCTACTCCTTTGGAATTTTGGTGTATACTGAAGACCAGCTGAGACATCCAGCCTCATTGACTGAGCAACTACTGGATTCTTCAAATTTCCATGGGTAGACAGACATTGTTGGACTAGCTGGACAACAGCTTGTGAGACATTCTAATGCATCTACTTTCTACATACATGGAGAGATTGATTTTTACCAGTCCTGCTCATGCAGAGAACCTTGAACAATGCAGCCATATTTTCTTTTTCACTGCCCACTGGGGAAGATGTGCTGGCATACAATAGTGCTCATAAAGACATTCTGTCTAGCTCCATTATTCTCTAAATGTTCAACTTAACATGAAGACTACTCTTTTTATTATTCATTTGCCAAGAGTTTGCCCTTAATTCCAGAAGAAAACTTCAAAAGCAACGAAGCCATCATTCAGCCTTCTGATGGGAGACAGATTTATCATTATGGTTTTTTTTTTTTTTTAATCTGGTTCCTGCATTTCTCTTATGGTTCTCTTGAGTGCCTCTGACAAACAGGTAAAAAGTATCTTCAGTTCATCTGACCTCTGCATGAAGCTACAGAACAAATATCTTTTGTGTTCTTAAGTCTCTCTTTAAAATTGTTAATATTCTGGGTACCCTTCTACCTGTGGGACAGGGAATCACTGCACTCCATCCTGAGTAAATGGTCTGCAAGCTAGTGCATTAAGTCCAGGAGAAAGAATGGGACGTGCTTATGGAATGCAGGAAGACAGCAGGGTCAGCAATCAGACCCAGGGGCAAGTTTAACTGAAATGCAAATCTCTGCAGTCTGGAAAAGGTCTGGGTCTGGGGTGTAAGGTAGTGTCAGGATCCAGTGTGCTATGTCTTTAAGTGCACTGTAACCCTAAGGGAGGTGCTCTTGTCACTCACGCCTCATTAGCCAATCAGCGCTTCCCGGCTGAACTGCCAGTCAGAAGGGTGCAGGGCCCTTCCGGGAACCAGGTTACAGGCTTGGCTTTACAGCGAAGCTGGCGCCATTGCATTTATTTGCTGTGTTGTTAGTGCCACTTCAGGGATCTGTGAGGGGGCCATGGGCGAGCAGGGAAGCCACAACATGGTGAGTTAGGGGCTGCTTTCCACAAATGGAGAAGAGTGAATGGGGACGTGCGGGAGCCGGTATGGCGGGTCCTCCCCCGGGGCTGGGCGATTACCTGCAGCCAGATTCCCTGTCCTGTAAATTTCTATACAGTCCATGCAACTACATGGACCCAGGCACAGGACTCGAATAACTTTGCACTGTGGGCTGCGTCTGTGCAGAACATTGGGAGAAGGGAGCTGTGTGTGTAGAAACATTTGTAGTCAACAACAACATGCTTTTGGTGCATCCATGGCAGGCAGTTTGCCAAACTTGGAGAGATCTAGTTTCTCCATTATCTTCTAGAAGTTCAGCACTTTGCATTTAAGATCTATTTACAGTTAATTTTGTAAAAGGCATCTCTTGTGTTGGGTAGCACTCCACTACTAAGCTGTGAAGTGGAAGAGTAGAATTGGTGATATAAAGGATTTACCAATGCTTAGAAAATAGTACGTCTTACAAAGTAGAATTTAGCTGAGGGCTGGCTGCCTCTGAAACACTCCAAAGATAAGTATATGCTAACGAGGCGTCTTACAGATAAGAATGCTAGGATACACATTTTTTTTTTTTTTTCACCAGGAGTGTCCAGTCATTTGGCTCCAAACTATTACAAAGGAGACACCCCTGATTTGCAACCAACCACTAGGCTCATCCCTATATCAAAAATCAGGTCTCTAACAAACTGCTCAATAAGGTCACAATCTACCTTAAAGGCCTGGTGTGCTTTAAAGTTACGTTTTTTTGTTTTTTTTGTTTTTTTCTTTTTTTCTAGAGAACAGCATAGTTCTGAGAGATGGGCAATTTGACACCAGGTCACAACTTTTTGAAAAGTAAAACACTGCTGCATTAAGGACTGGTCTGGTCAAGCAAGGCTTTCATTTAGGCCCTCGGGAATAGAGGAGGAACATTTTGGGGAAAGCTAGTTAACAGCATGGGGACTATACCTTTAAAGCTTTGCCTAAGGCCTTGATGTATTGAGAGTAAAATAGAACTCCTTCTTTAAAACCAGGAATATAGAGCTGGTAATGGTCTGGGGTCATGGCCTTTTCATCACATGGAGCTATGGTTATAAGCCGTAAGGCCACTGTAGGAATAGTAATGTTCCTGGGATACCCTGTGTTCCCCCTGTGCATTATTTATCAGCCTCCTCCTGAGTTGGTCCTATTGTATGATAGTTTCAGCTGACTTCATAGAAGTTTCCCCATTTCCTTGCATTCCCCCCTGGAAGTAGTATACAAGAAGCTTTTCTTCTTAAGATGCTTACTTGGCATGAGATATAGCTTGTGCAAAAACCACCTCACTCCAGCTTTAAAATTATTCACTTGAATCTTGTAGTTTACTGTCCATTGCAGTTACAGAAAAAGGATTTTCATGTGGAGCATGGCTTCTGCCTCCAGACCAGAATAGGAGGAATAATTTATTGTGTACAGGGCAGAGGGAAACAGGATAGGCAGTCAGCTTCTGGTGTCACCGTTATGAAAAAGAACCAGATTGTGGCAGCAAGAGTTAATTTGTAATTTCCCAGCATGTATTAATTCCCTGTCATACGAATGAACACAGACCAGATTGGTGGGTGTACAATTTGAGAAAGTTAACTTGAACCAGTGAATATTGAATTTGCAGTTAGGGCGGTCTCTAGTGCAGATATGTTCAATCCTGCTTGACATACTTAAGTCAGCTTAGAGGTTTGAGAAACAGTCCATTGACTGTAACTCACTGTGTCAAGTTACAGGTCTCAGCAGCCAACATGTACATATGGAAAAAATCAGTCTCTTATTGATGGCTTTCCCTCTACTGGGGAAAGGCCTATTCTTTTTCAAATCAATTTAGCTAAGGTTTTTATTCTTTTTTTTTTTTTTTTTTTTTTTTGGTTTTTCGAGACAGGGTTTCTCTGCGTAGCTTTGC